GTGTCGACTTAGACCAGTTTTACTGTATATGCAGAACATCTGCTGACGAGCGTAGAACTTGTTTACAAAACTTAGTGGGAGGAGGATCATGAGTGCAGCTCAAGGACTTCAGAAGTAATGTAACTTTGTTTAGTGAATTAAGGTTGATAGGCGAAAACACAGACAGTTTACTTTGAGCAATACAGTGTGGTGGATTAACATCCAGGTTTTTGGGGACAAATACTCCATATGTTCTCTTATAGCTTTAATTTAATCACTAAATTAGGTTGCAAACTCATTGCAATTATCAACTGTAAGAAACTCAGATGTGATGCATGGGGAGAGGTTAATCTATCAATAGTAATAAAAAGGAAATCTGGTCATTGACTGGTACACTGGCCAAATTGCAGAATGTAGCACATTTTGCTCTGAACATTGCCTCACTACAGCTCAGCATGGATCACCAGTCATCCAGCCTTCAGCAGAGTCCAGGGCAGATCTCTCCAAGGTCCCAGAAGAGTACCAAGACCTTGGGTCCGTCTTCAGTAAGGTGATGGCCTCTCTCCCACCACATCACCCATGTGATTGTGCCATTGATCTGCTGCCTGGCACTATACAACCTCACGGTCTGAATTCGAGGGGAAGAGAGTGGAAGACCACCTTCAATACACCTACCGACCATTAAGAATACCTTGTAATGCCTTTCGTGCTCACTACTGCCTCCACAATCTTCTAAACCCATGTGAACAATGTCCTTCATTTTGTGGTGAAAAAAGTTTTCATCTACTTACACGATGTCCTGATCTTCTGCCAAGACCTGGCCACCCACCGCCATCAAGTCAGAGAGGTGCTGCAATATTTCCTGAAGAATCGCCTTATTCCTAGGCTGGAAAGTATGAGTTTCATCAACCTGAGGTGTCCTTCCTAGGGTTCAAAATTTCCATGGGCAGAATCAGAATGGACCCTGAAAAAGTGAAGACTGCCATGGAGTGGCCTGTCCCCACAGCGAGGAAGGATTTCAAAGAATTCCATGGGTTCACAAACTTCTGGCACATCTTTAAAACACAGCACCACTCACCCCACTAACCTTGGCCTAGCTGCCATTCCATTGAAACTAACTCATATAAGAAGCCTTTCCCCACCTGAAAGCTAGGTTCACCTCAGCCTTTGTCCTAATAGTTCTCAATCCCAAGCAACAGTTTGATGCTTCAGAAACACTGTTAGGGCCATATTATCCGAGCTCCCATCTAAGGATGGGAACAAACACCCCTGTACCTTCTTTTCTCTATGTCTCTGTCCCAACAAATGGAATCACATCAGTAGATTCCAACCAAGAATTTCTAGTAGTCAAGCTTGCACTGGAAATGTGGCGCCATTAGCCGGAGGGATCTGAGTCACCTTTCTGAGTTTTGATGGACCACTGGAACCTTGAGTGAGGTGATCGCTCTTCCTCACAAGTTTTAACTGCGTGTTCACCTGCATTTTTAAAAAAAATCAAATGCACACAGTTAGTGGCAAACATTCTTAAGCTCCACCCCTTTAAGACTCTAGAGGGGCCTTCTGTAAATACAGCGCTATTAATGGAAATGTGTTTTCTTTTAATGAGAGAAGAGGTGGGAATCCTTTACAGAACGACATCCTAAGTAAAATGTACGTGTAGAGGATCAAAATTAGTAATTGGTAAAACAGGTTAAAGGTAGTTATTTATAAATTTACTTAAAAAAGGAGATGAAGCCCGGAGGAAACACACTCCCCATAAGTTTTTTTTCCCCAAGTAGTGAACTGAGTGCAGTTCTTTTAATTAGAGGTTCACTATACTGGAGAGTGTTTGCTCCCATACACTAGTGGGCGCATCGTGTTAGGAACGTACGAGCGAGCAGAGGCGAAGACAGCAATATAAAATCTGTGGCCAGCGAGAGTGTAAACCCAACGCTCTCTGCTTGTTTTTTTTTCCAATAATTTGTTTGTAAATATACCCCTGAACCGATACTTTGTACTGAATTAAGTCCCTAATACTTCTGCTGTAAAAGGGGCGAATGGATTATATGGGTGTTTGACACGTAAAAGAAAGTTTTTATCTAGCACCGTAGCTTATGATACAGATAGACGCCGTCCTTAAATGAACTAAATGTTCAAAAGTTTTGTAACCCAGTAGTGTACCTTACTTATACATTGATTTAATGTGAGGGAAATGTGTAAGACTGTGTGTCGTATGTGGTATTTATCAGTAAGATGGTGGATACCGCGCGTTCACGGTAAATGGTGTTACTACCCAGGCGCACGGTACATAATTTAACTCGAACACTTTACAGCATGGCACAAACACTGCATCTGTCGCCATAGCAGGGACTCAGATCAACACAAAGAGACTCGTGATTAATGTTCAGAAGAATAAGGGAATTCTGAGCAGCAGAGTTATAAGATGAAGTTTATTGATCCCAGGGGGTAATCCTGGTATATACCGTGGCAAGGTACACAAAGTGACGACAAACATATAGTACAAGACAAGACAGTACATATAGTTTGCAGAAACTTTAAAAAATGCACAGTACACACGCAGAACTCCCCGAAAAATTATTGACCTGATATAACCTGATAACTGGGTAGAAGATGAATAGACGGATAAACGTCCGTATCCATTTTGCCAGCAGCCTGCAATTCTCATGTTTAGTCACAAGATGGAAGCAAATCCACTGTGATAATGAAGCAATACCTAGAAACAAATGACTACCAAACGCGACGTCCTTTGCTCAATTTGGATTCTGGATCTAAGCTGAAACAAAAATTTATTAAAAATTAATATATTTCAAATTGTAAATGGGGCACGAGCCAGTGAAATACCTACACACACCATGGGCAATTTAGAGAAGCCAGTTTACCTTATCCTGTATCTTGGTGCTGCAGGAGGAAACCTGTGAGACACAGGGTGACCATGCAAAGTGTCACCCCAACTGAATAAACACAAACAGATAAAATCAAAGAACAGATGCACATGAAGTATGAGAAGTTTTAAAAGGCTGTGAGTACTGGTCTGTAGGGTCTGTCTTTCAGGTTATTCTTCATCCTCCATAGCAAAGATTTTAAAGGTAACTTTGAATGATGCATGAAAAGAAATTTTAAAACAACTTGCTAAATGTTAAGTATTATTAAATCATTAAAATTGCATGTCTGGTCACCATACCTTAAGAAGGACATTGCTGCCTTGGAAAAAGTGCAATATAGGGCTACAAGAATGATTCCTGGTCTTAGAGGAATGTCTTATGAGGGGAGGTTAGCTCAGCTGAATCTGTTTAGCCTCGAGCAAAGGAGACTAAGGGGGGGGACATGATCCAGGTACATAAGATTCTAACAGGTCTGGATGCTGTTCAGTAAAATGGCTATTTCAATATTAGTTTAAATACTATAACTCGTGGCTATAAGTGGAAATTAGTGGGAGAACATTTTAAAACGAATTTGAGGAAGCACTTCTTTACACAGCATGTAGTTAGAGTATCTTATGTTCTTAACCAGTGACACACCAATGAGCATGTTGTGCTTTTCAAACGTATGAAAACTAGGTGCCAAAGAGCACTACAGTATGCTGTGGCATTAAGTTTCATAATAATTATGATGAATCTGAGAATGAACAAGGAGTAGGTAAAATGCAACATTAATGAATCTTTATTAAAGCAGTAATTTCATAGTATGTTTTACTACAGCTTAGCATCAGTCGATGATTTTGATGTCAGTACAATACAAGTAATATATAATTATTGTCTACAAAAAGAATTTTACACCCAGGGCAATTATGTTGCAGACATGTTTACATTCACAGTTAGATTGTGAAAAGAGTATCTTGGAACATATATTGAAGGGTCTAAAAACTTTTTTCCTAATGTTTCTTTAAAGGAGTCCTGAATATAGCTTAACCCTAACCCTTTGCCAGTTATTATTGACGTTCTGAGAAGTGACACAGGGAAGAAGATCTGTGTTACTTAATGGATATAAATATACTTCCAGCAACTAAGATAGAAAGTACCCAGCTGAAATCTAATGCAGATCCATGGAGGCATCCAGCATAGGCGGTGCAGATTCCAGTGGGACATTTTGAGAAGAAACCATGATGTGATTAAAAAAATAGGTCATGGATAGATCTTCCAGATAGGCAGCAAACACATTCACAAGAATGAATTTTTTTGGGAGAATGCTTGGAATGGGAAAATTTGCTGGGTGGGTAGGTGAACCGAACCAGATGTTACCAAATAAATCTGTGAACCTCAGGTCACTGCTTCTACTCTCTCACACAGAACAAACTTACTTCATACAACTATCAGCTGATTACACCTGAGCAGAGGGCATGTCTCCCTGCCTCACCGCTCCCCAGAAGCATTCACAGCACCTCATGTTCTACAGTCATCTCAGTCTGCTCTATCCTCAGCATGCTTCCATCTGCTCCCAATACAGCAACATTCTCATTGCATATATTCATGGCACCCAGTGGGGCTCTGTGCAATACCTGATGAACGTCGCTGTGGATCACTGAGGACGTCAAACAGGCTGTGTTCTCACTCACTGAGGCCTGCTGAAGCTCAAGCTGCCAAATGAGGTGCCACACATCCGTCATCACCGTGCCATTCAGCAGAACCCAGAGAGGTCCTCTTCACTCCTCGGCCCCTTGGTGGTTTCATGGTGCCTCAGAGCAACGAACAGGCCTTTCTGCTTCCATCTCCAGCCATAATTTTGCAGAAAAATGCAGCTGCTGATTTCTTTTCCACGAAGGAGATCTGAACCAAGGGCTTGAGTGGGACTTGTGATACAGGCATGTCGAGAACAGAGGCATTTTTGCTGTATATAAATGATGGCAGAGCTTTCTAGTAGATGGGTTCAGGATAAGCGCAGGAAAAGTGGTTCTGGGTGAAACTGCTAGAAAATTAGCTTTAATGGGAGCGATAAGCAGGAGCATGATGGCTCTGCTGGTAGCAGTGTTGCGTCACACGTTCTAGGCTGGGAGCTTGAATCCCACTTCTCTGTGTGCGTAGAGTTTGCATGTTATTCCTGTATGATACAGGTTTCCTCCGACAGTTTAGCTAACTGGCACCACAAAATTGTCTGTAGCATACAATTGTGACTATGTGTGCCTACCCTGTGTTGCTGTTGTGGACATGCCCAAGATGAAGATCAGCCTGTCTCCTCCTCCAAGCCCAAAATACAGCATGCGTTATAATTGGCTCATTAGAGCAGTATTATTAGACACACATAAACAGCAAAATTGAGGAAGCGGTTCAGAGACCTATGCTCTTCAAGGCTGGCTCACCCAGAACCAACTTCCTCAGTAAAAACAAAGTAATCCTACATCCATTCATATTCTTTTTCCTTGATAACCTGATAAAGGCAAAACAATCAAAAATAATAGCGCATCATTATAATCTAATCCAAGCCAAGCAGTGATAAAGACATATAGAGATAGAATCAGAACCGGAGTGGTTCAAGGTATCAAATCTTAAAGTGAAAGAGATATTTTGATTACCTATTTAAAAACCTGAAGTGACAAAAGATCTCAGCAGCTGCATCTAAAAAGAAGGATACTTAGATAATCTAGTATGAACCCTAGTAGTGATAAAGTGGTGTCCTTAAATCAGTCTAAATCCCTGTAATGAAAATTACGCTACCTCTGTAAACTACTTTGCAGGCCGTCTCTGTCTTATCAGACTTCGGCAGGAGGAAGCTCATTAGGAACTCATCCAGACCATTATGCAGGTTTCAGGCTCAAAGAATGCTTGTAATATTTCACTGGATTTGACAGAGCTGTGTGTCATCATAATCACCGGTAATTAACGGCATGCTTGAGAATAACATCCTCGAGGCAGGGCCTGAATAAGCAGACAGGTAGCAGGACCCGACACATTTTCCTTTGGGAGTCACGCTAGAACACAAAGTATTTCAATGATTCTTCATCTATTTGAACCCCTGGAACTGGGCTGATGGCAAAGGCCTAAACCAGGAAAGTACCAGTCCACTATATAGTCAAAGGTGTTACTTAAGTCTAGAAGCCGATGGTGACTTTAGCAGTCACAGGAGAGTATTTAATCATTACCTTCATAAGGGTTTCATTGCTCAGGTGATGTTTGAACATCGTACACCAAATCATATCATAGAACGGCAGTTGCAGGGGAACGTTTGAAGTAAAAATGGATGTCTGGAGGCAAGCTTGTAACTAGATAAATCATTCAAATTCAGATTATGCTTCATGAGTAGGAGCTTGACTGCAGCTGCCTTAAACAACTCTGGAAGGCTTTCAGAAGATGATAATGCTTTTTCTAATATCTGACATGAGCTTTTTATTCCTGCCAGATGCTCCTTCATTACAATTTTAGCCATGGAAGTCTGTAAACAAGATGTTTTAGATATTTTTTTACTACTTTAGGCTGCTCTCTTGTGCCAGCACCTTAAAATACCTAGCATGTGTGGAAGCTGCAGTCACACAAAATGTGCAACAAATCTGCTAGTCACTGTATTTTGCGAGATCCTTCAGATATTACATCTGATATTCAGTTTTTCCATTTATTAAATTTATATTTCATGCAGTTGTCTTTCATGGCAAAGTGAAATACCCCTGCTTTTGTCGTCTCATCAAGATTCTAATCAGTAGGTCACCCACTGCAATGGCCGCTATGCAAGGGAGCGTGTTTTCGTTGTTGAACGCTATTCTTTTTTTAGAGGACACACAGTGTTCATCAGAGGGCTTAAAGTGCAAACGCGTTCATTGCTTTGCTCAAATTTAGTGGATGAGAAATTTTCCATATGAAGGGCTCTGCTGTTTAATGAGATCAGATCAGACGAGAAAGGCTCTCAAAGACACATCTGTAAGAAGTGTGACTGTGGCTGCAGTAAAAATACACCCAAAATAAATGTTGTATTTTTCCTTTATTTCACAGAATGAGTCACTTGCAGTGTCATTGCAGTAAGAAAATTGTCTGATGGAAGAGGGTCATGTGGAAAGATAGAATCACTCTGAATATGAATTTCATTGGATAGAACAATATTTAGATTATGATAATTATTAGGGCCTATTACATTCTCAAGAAAGCTGGCAGATTTAAGACCATTTGAAAAAATGGACTGAAGATTTCCATAAGTAAGACTTCCTGCATTTATAATGTTGAGAGAATATCATAAACCAGCCTCCAGGAAATCCCAAAATATCATACTTATGGTTAATAACTTGCTAATTCATAACAGCTGCTTCTTTTAAAGAAAAGTCTACAAAGATTGTACAATGCATCCAAATCTGCTACCTGCTGGCAAAGAAGAATCACTTTTGGGTTTGGTCTGGTGCCCAGATGTGTTCTTACAGATTGGGCGAATGCTACTTCTGAACTCATTACAGGTAGGGTTAATGGTGATGACCCATGTGGAGGAGGAAGGAGAACCAGAAAGAGTGATGGAATTACAGGTTGGGTTTTGATTTCGAAGCTTGTCACTGCTGGAAATACAAATTAAACACTTCAATCTCCATTGGAGCAAGAGAGCAAAGCATTAGTGCATGATAATATACTGAGATTAATAATTAATAATCATTTTTATAAAGATGTTAGGCAGTTACCAACTGCAGGAAAAAGAAAATGCCATTTTGTAATATAAACTGTAAACATTCGTCAAGGTTCCCCAAAGGTACAAACGGTTTCTTTCCTTCATATATCAGTCTGTGTCTGGGTAACACATTATTCTGCAAATGTGTTCATTTTACATTTCAGACACGAGTTAAAAGTCATATCCATACAGGGTAATGGCTTGTGTTGTTACTGTTTCTGATGGAATATATAATTATAGCTTTAATGGGGCTTTGTGCTTGGGGAAAACATTCTTTATGACTCTTGATGTTCAGTATCTGAATAATTAACAATTGCATTAATGCCTAAAATTTGACTAACATGGCCCTTTAGCATGAAATCTGGTCATGTGGAGGGGGGCTAATCATCAAACCCACTAGAATATAAATTCAGAAATTTTTAAACAATGGATATGTGGAGAGTATCTATATTACATTTATAATATTTTGATAACTACTTGAATCTCAACAGGAACATTATCTGAGTTTAATTAATCTTTGTAGCCTGTAATGAATCATTCAGTAAAGCTTTATTTTGAAAATCTACTGAATCTACAATGAATCTACAGTAACCTCCTGAGAGCCCACCCATTCATTTATGTCCATTGTAGTGGACATGTTGTTTTTGCATCTATCTTTTCACTGATGTAAGGAAACATATTTATTCCTGTTGTACACTAAAGAGGACATGCTGTGAAATTAAAAATAAAAATAAATTTGAAAAAATCTAAATTGTAAGATGTCTTGGAACAAATAACCTATAATTGAAGGACACTTTTTTCCTTGGGTATAGTGTTCCTTGGGAGGATAAAACATTTCATTACATGAGACAACTATCACAAAAAATAAGTGCATTACACAGTTCTTGGGTTCTTTCCATTTTAAAAGCAATCCTTTGTTTTAATCGAGAAAAGTAAACAAAGCACTTTTATATTTCATTCAAGGAAATATTTACAGATACTCTTTTAAAGACTGGCCCTCCAATTAGTACAGAATCCAGTGAATATAGGTTTTACTCATTAAATCAGATATAGTAACATCCCAGCTTCCAAAAAATGAGAGAAATGTGTTGCTATAAACTCTTCACTTCTGTATGAAAAATATCCATTTATCTACACCATGCTTACCTTTCACTGTTTCTCCTGCCAGGTCTGCTTAGCCTCCAGACTGAGACGTTGGGCTTCTGACAATGTCCAAAGAATGGACACACTGTCACCTTGTATACTGACACTGTCATTTGCATTGGCCCACCCTCAGTCCCCTGTTTCCTCGGGCAGGACCAAATGACCATCATCTCTCACTGCTGTCATCTGTAGTAAAGTGTTATGTTCTGTTTACAAGAGCAATTCTCAACCCGTGGGTCATGACAAGTTCTAAAAGGGTCACAAGGCAAAGTTGGAAATGCAAGCATTTTAAAACCAACAAGCTCCTATGCTGGTCCAGGTTTCCCCAAACCCTCAATCCTAGAGTTAACCTATATAAACGGGTCTTGGGTCTGCACCTGCTTAGCACTAAACTAGTGAACACGCAACCAATCCAAGAAGCCAAACCATAGATGCTTAGTTTAAAATTCACTGGCACATCCAATCAGATTTGTGCGATAGACATAGATTAGCGTAAAATGCAGAGCGCACAGCGCACTTGATCATAGCTTTAATCCATCCATCCATTCTCTGCCCCTCATCCAGGGTCGGGTCATGGGGGCAGCAGTCTAAGCAGGGACGTAGCAATAATTTAAACCTAAAATTGATAAAGTGTCGTGACTAAGCTGGCACTGGGTCACAGCGCAAAAAGGTTGAGAACCACTACTTTACAATATCACTGGTCATTTATGTATTTTATAGACAACATTTTCCAGGGATGATGCTCGAATGGTCCTCTTCTTTAAAGGCATCAGGCATATCTCACCATTATTTTTTCTTTTTGGAATGTTCTATTTGATTCCCCCTGAAAACAACCCAAAAGTCCAGTAATCTTCTTTGCTAAATCCTGTTTCTGAAACTGCACAATACGGTTTAAAACACTATAGACTCCATGATCTAAATCATTAACAGCCTCAGAATCATAAAGATGATGGCAACTTAAGTACTGAGCAAAATTAGATTGCGTTTATTTCCTGGCAAAACAAATTTTATATATATTTTATGGGTGACAGTACAAATTACCTTTAACAGATGGCATTGATGCCATGCTTTGCTTGCAGACATGAAATTAATGAACAAATAAATGAAACTACATTAATTAAAACACTGTAATGTTAAACAGCTTATTTATGAGTGTTTCTACCCTGAGAGAATATCAACCAGAAAAATGCAGATACCCAGAAGTCTTGAAGCTTTCCTGTATTTACAAAATACTGTGTAATTTCCTTTATGTCTGTTTGCTGCATTCAGAAACCAGAGAATGAACAGTTATGAATTCTAATGAGATTTAAATCACTGGCATTCGCAGAATTACTGAGGTTCCGCACAGTCCATTATTAGGGCAAATGGAGTGAATATGCTTTCCTTCCTGATCGCATTGAGGGGGACTGAAAGGGACGGTTAGACACAGAAGACCCCCGCCGATCTGGGCACAGAGAAAACAAGCTCCAAGCAGACACACAGCGGATCTCTCATCTAAGCAGTGTTGCTCCCTGATTGCATTACAAAGTCATCTTGGTCTTATCTTGGCCATATTTTCATTCACCATTTTTACATTGTTAGGTTCTTAACAAAAGAGAGATAGATTAGAGTACAAAGTGGGATGCATTTGATCAGTACGGTAATCTTATTGGACTTGTGCTTTGTGCCAAGGAGTTACTTCGGTTGGTGCCTTTGACCAAGATTTTTCATTATTCAGCAATGAATGAGGAGGGTCTGTGTTGAACCGATTCCTCTGGATTAAAAATAAAAATACCTCTGGGAAATTGCTATCATCCTTCCTGTACTGATTCTGCAACTTTATGATAGCATACACAGAATGCTGTAAAAAAATCAGATACAGATAATAATGTGCACATTGACATCTGACAGGAGCCCCAGTCTAGGTAATCTGCCCCCAGTACCCTGCAGACCTTATGAACTGTTTCAGACCGGTCCATAAGGAGGAGTCTTCATCTCTCACTATTCTCTTTGAGGAAATTGCATAATTGTGTCTAATTAAAGTAATTTTATGCACAGCTTAATGGCATAGCCTAACTATTTGAAAACTAATTTATCTAGTGTCGCCTGTCCCCATGCAGATTCTGTTCATGGATATTTAAAGTAGCGCATCATTCAGTATGGCAATTTTCTCTTGTTCTTTCATGCACGTACATGCAAACTTTAGCTAATACTGGTGATAATTATATTCATTAAATGAACATGACAAACCGCTGCCAGCTCATTTGTTACAATGTAGATCCAGTTTTAATTTTATCGAATGTTCTAAAGACCAGATCAAAAGCATGACATCGCTAACACCAGCACCCACAACTTTTAATCTCCTGGCTCAGGACTGATAAGGCGCCGCGTGCCCCTAAGGCAGGAGTTGTCATGTAAGAAATGGAAAGAGTTGTCATGTGTGAAATCCTCCGCCCTGAAGACGGATCTGTTATCTCAGTCAACTTGGAAGTACAGAATGCAAAACATTGCATGGACAGTTTTTAACTTACACTGTTACAACAGAATTCGGATCAGAAATCTTATTTTTGTCAATTATCACCCTGATATAACTTACAGTATCTTACATTGATTTCCACAGAATTTGGTGTTGCAAAACAGTTAAAAATTGCCTTTTCGGTCCAATTTAGCTACACGAATAAAGAAACACCTGCAGTATACATTTAAATAGAGAACAGGTAAAATTTGTCTTATTTAGGCATCTTTTCGTCGTGATTATTTTTAAAGCAAAGGCCTTCATGGTAAATCTCTGCAAAAAGCATGGCAGATGTAAGAAGGGACGTTAAATGTGGTAAAACATTAATTTCATCGGGGCAGTACATTAAGTTGTATGGCACACATTGACGTAGCGAGTACCATACCGCTGGCCTTCATTAATATAGGACTAGCTCAGCTTAATGTTAAACACTATACCTTGAACTTCACTTAATATCTATCTAGTTTTGTTTTATGTTGAATACTAAAAACATTTAGCCACATGTTTTGTGAAGCAATTACTGAGAGGGAAACACATTCATATCACAGTCTACAATTTTCGTAAGTACAGTGGTACCTCGGTTCTCGAACTCACTAGAACTCGAATTTCTTGAAAGTCGAACAAACCAGTTTGACCTAGAACTCGATCTGAATATCAGAAGTCGAACCGTGAACGCTGACCTAATATAAATTGTACGTGCCTGGAAATGAGTCATACTACAGTGCAATTCTTACTTGAATGCCTTCATCACAGGCTGGACGATTAACCAAATAAAGCAGAGCAACATTACAGTAACTAACAATAAATAAACCACTAACTTACGTGTACTATTAGAGCATCTATGTCATTTATTTAAACTTTATTTTACCAGGTAAATTAACTGAAAACCAGTTCTCACTGCTTTACGTGATATTCGGGAGAAATAGCAGATTACGCATCGGAACTGCCTGGGAAACAAGCGTCATGCATGTAACTAAACTGTTCAGCCAATAAGGGCAAAGGTGTGTCATCACGGAGGCAGTTCCAGTTTGTGCAGCCGGGTGAGAGGTCGCAATGCATCTAACCGTAACGCATTGCGTCAGAATCAGAATGTGTTTCTTTAAGCCAGCGCTGTAAGCAAGTCGAACGCACCCAATGACCGGACTGGGGAAACAAACTGAAACGCGGACTTAATACAGAGGACTAATGACAACAACCAGAAACAGCTGATCACATGGGGATCCCATGCGAGGTTAATGAGGGGGCGTGGCGCACGGAAGGAGCGGACGATCGGGGCAGGACAGGGGTAATGTTACATAAGATCTTTATCGTTTTGGAAGCCATTAAGAAAAAAATGCTCTTCTTGTTTTATCCTGTTCATTTTGTGTTTAAATGCTAAAAAAACATATTTAGGTGTAATTTTGGGGAGTTGGGAACCAATTAATTGGTTTTCCATTATTTCTTATGGGAAAAATTCGACCAGAACTCAAACTTTTTAAGATTCGATCCGGAGTCCGGAACGGATTAAGTTCGAGAACCGAGATACCACTGTAATTATTCCGACTTCATCAAGCATTTCTACTACGCTAAGTAAAACAGAGCATACATAAAGGCACCCAACCAAAGGTAGGAAACAAGAACCTGATGTTCCTGGCTGAAATCCACTGTGAATAAATCAGATACTAAAGTCCCTTTTGCGGCTAATGTTTTCACTCCGATATATTCAAACTCAGTAGCTACTGTAGCACTTCCAGAGAAGTTACTGCATCCATCACTTCATTACACATATCCATACTGTATCCATAACGTCAGACACGTTCAATGCAGCAAACTGGATGCAGCCATTTCTGTTCAGATGCAAACTACTGAATAGTTGATTGAAGCACGCAGCGTTCTCCCCTGGGGGAAAAACATCAGGCGTATGTTTGCATGTATTATTAAACACGGCTTTGATAACAGGATCGCCGCCCCCTGCTTCTGCTCGTCCGCGTGGCAGAGCTCCGCGTAGGTGCCGCTGTAATTGCAGTGCAGAGAGCTTCACCAGTGGATTTTCACAGCTTGTTTCATTATGCAGCTTCATGTGTTTGGACGTTTGCTTCAGCTTCCTGTTGGGCTGTCAGAACAGAGAAACCAGGCTGCTATTGTATTTCCCTCACCTGAATTTAAAGAGCCCGGCTTTGGAGTTTGAGAGGCGTCATTTGCCAAGTCACTGGCCCTGTCACTGTGACTTGACAGCCCAGACAAACCCATGCAGGTACTTCTTCTAAAGGTTAAGTCAAAGCTGACCTGGCACTTATTCTTAAAATTCAATTATGGGAATGTTAATAATATCTGGAGTGTCTTAGCTGTTCTGTATAAACATATTTCTTTCTTGGACAGCTCGGCAGAGCCTTAATTGGAGGAAAGATCTTCTCAAGGACAAACAGGGTCAGCTTGGTGGATTCTGGAATGACTGATGACTGTGCTTGGCTGCATATTGAGATAATGTCTTCACATTGTTGGGTGAGTGTTTTTTGTTTGATGGACATTTTCAAATTTAATGTTATTGAAGCTTCCCCTTTTTTTGTATTCGCCTTTTTAAGGTACAAGTGTTCTGATTTTTCATGGACAAAAAACCTTTTCCATCCATGTACAGCTCCATTCCACAATCACGATAATGTCATCTTTGTGTGTTAGTCTTTAAAATAAATTTAAAACTCCCTTATTGATGTAACAAGATTAAACCTTCAGCGGCGACAACAGTCATGAGGGAAACGATAAGCGTTATAAATGGAAGGAGTGGCACGATGCAAAAATCGAGAAATGAATGCATTTCAGAAAGATAACAGTGCTGAATAAAATTATTGCTGAAAATGATGAGGCATTTCCCTACAGTGGGTGAAAAAAAACTATAAAACAGATCACTTCAGAATAATACAGAAGGGACTGAATTATTTAACCATGGATTTTCAATTTCTGCACCATGTTGGTAGCGTGGCACTATATTTAATATTTAGTGCCATGTACATATCTGAATTCTTTCTTTCTCTATGGACGTAAACATTCTTCCCCAAAATGTTTAGTTGGAGCAGACTGCTCATCTTTTGTTGAAAAAAACAACATAGGGTAAATTTTGCTGGCATTTCCCATCAAATGTGCAACTACCCTTAACAGCTTGCCCAGAACACCAGGGAGGGTAAGATCTCCAGGTGCTGGTGCAGCTATGATGAATGATGACGGAAGAGGAATTAAAATGCCCCAGTTGCCTGTTTGGGAAGTTTGCCTCACTCTGCGAATTTAGCTCCCATGACCTTCTTTCAGAGCAATTCTTGAGTCCCTCTGTTCAACGCCGTCCCTTTTCTCCTATTATGCTCCGCCACCCAGACCAGCCGGAAGGGGCCACATTGAACTGAGGCATAATGCTCTTGCTTACTTTAACATCGCTACAAATGTGCAGTGACAGAGAGAGAGCTGGCTGCCAGGCGCTGATTCCCAGTACAAATAGATTCAGAGCAAAGCTATCAGTTGCTATACCGATAATTGGATTTAAACAGCGTTAAAGTGTCATCTTCCAAAGCACTGATCCAATGGCCTGATAAGTAACTCCGAAGAATCAATCATCCGTACCTTTTGCAAAGAAATGACTCAGACTTTCATCCAGGTCTTCAGGATGGGTAACGTGTTGTGTCTGATGTCAGTAGTGCTTATGAATGCAAGCTTGGAGCATGAGAAAATGACAGTTCTTTCAAGAGGGACTTAATGACACTGTAGGGAGGGCTATTCAAACCACGGTCCTCAAGGTCCAGGCACTGCTGATTTTCCAGCCTTCCTTTACCTGCGAGCCAGGTGTGAAGCCTCCAGCCAATAAGAATCAGTAAGTATTAAAATAACTGCTTGGGAGAACTGAAAACAAGGCCTGTATTTGGAATCAAGGGCCAAATTTGAAGAGCCCTGCTGTAAGGACCTTTACACTTTTATGGAACCAAAGACGGCCTGTAGCGGTTAAACAAAAGTACACCAGGACCCATCCTGCCAAACTCCTGGAAATTTCCAGGTTTATCTATGGATGCAGCCTCCATTAGAAATTAAACACAAAGAAATAATGAACACGTGCCCTCCCATCTTTCCTACACTTTTCAAGGAGAATGGCTTCCGATTGGCCTAGCGCAGTGTTTGAGCTCCTCATATCTGATAAGCACCCCTGAGTGCTGTCTTTGCCTGGCTCGGGTCATACCACCCAAACCCAGCAACATCAGCGCTCCTCTCGATTGTCGACTCACCCAGCGTCCATCGCGTTGGGGCTCATCGCTAACGACCGTCTTGTACTCATTAGCAGAGTCACAGGAGGCTGATGCTGCCATTTTTAGAGCTTTGTAAATCACCCGTAATTTAATAACAAGCCTCCTGTCACCGCACATTCTGCTAAATCAAGGCTTAATTACGATGGCTTTTACCTTGAAAGTGTATCCACCTACAAACAGTTCCCCTGTGTTGAGGACTGTCTCCAGCACAACACTGATCAAAAGTTTCTATTAAATCTCTCCACCTACAAATTTAAGTTTTTTTTTTTTTTTTTTTTTTTAAATATGGCTTTTATTTATAAAGCAATTGAAGAAAAAAACAACACAAATGAGTAAAATGACATTCTGCCCTTCCAGCAGGCTGTGGGGGAGGAGGATTGTCTGCCAATTTATCCTGATTTATATGATACATTTTTATGTAAAACTAATTAACCTACAAACCCTGTTAATTTAAATGTTGAAATGTCACAGATATTGATTACATAATAATTGCATTTTGCCATTCTGCAAAGTATTCTGTTGTGATCATTTTAACTATTAATATTTATCTTATGAACTGAAAAGCTTTAGTTTCTTGCTTCCTTTTGATTTCCAGTTCTAATTACAAGTACACTCAGTAACAAGCCCATCTAATTAAGAAAAAAATTCCAATGAAAAGTCTGTTTATTTAATACTGACATGCACTAATTTATGTACTGTAACATTCATATTGTCACTGACACTGTGCTGGACGAGTGGTCATATATATTGTGGAGTCTATTCTAACACAGGAAATGACCTAGTAGTTTATAAACAACAATGGCCCCTAGAGCTGTGACCCAAATGTTTCCAGTCTTATGTGCAGAGTCACTGGTCAAAATTGCTTCCACTAAATTTCAGTAAACAGGCTAAAACTCATGTAACATTAACAGCAAGTGAAAGCTGACAATTCATTAGATTTGCTGATTAGACAGGCAAAATATCACGTATTTACATTTCACTACAGCACTAAGTTATGTCAAGTTAACTTGTTTCGCTGTCATTCCATATTAATTATTAATTATTCTGCGGACTGTAGATGCCACCTCTAATTTACAGGACATTTCCTGGGTTGTAATTTGAGCATAATAGGCTAGTCTGCCCTTCCTGAAAGTATTAGCAGTCAAACAGCTGGTGTGATGACACTGAGAACTGCTAAAACCATCCAGAAATATAAGCCACTTCTCTAATTTCTTTTCTTTCTTAATGGCCTTACAGTTTGGATTAAAAAGTTCAATAGCTTCAGCCATCAGTTTGCACAACGTTACAGTCATTCCATTGATATTTCTCTGATGCAGCTGGATAATGATTTTTAAATGTGACTCTCTTTATATATATACATTCAGCATGGGAATAAGATATTCGCTATTCCATGCAGTCGCAGCATCATCATTGCCTCCCAGGAATCTTTTTGCTGAGAAGGAGCATGTTTCCTGAAACTCTGAATGCTAAACCCAAATACAGCTAGCAATAAAACCAGGGGGGTATTTCACAAAGAAGGATATCTTACTTAGCCAGATAACTTTTCAGATTTAAGGTAGTCTGAGCTACATTTAAGTGGATGAAGATATAGTCCATTTAGCCCAGACTAACTTAAATCCAACAAGTTATCCGGCTAAGCAAAAAATCCTACTTTGTGAAATACCCCGCAGAATGAACACAGGTAGTAATCATATATAAAGTGTAGCATTACTGACACTGGAATTCCGTATGGTTCAAGATGCTCTGTTCCCAATCCTGTATGAACCCAGTGCTAATTGCTCAGCTAAATCCCTGTGAATTCTGAATGGGCCTTGCAGTCACATTATTTATGAGAAGAAATAAAACAACAATAATGCCTAATTTTCTCAGACGGAAATGGCTGTATCTGTGGCGATAAGCAGTCCCTGAAGATGAAAGATCATTTTCCGAGCTTGGGTAATTCTTCTCTGTAGATAGTGCTAATTGCCTTGCCAGTTCATTTTTTCTGGATTAAATGCGAAAATGTTGACCATTACAGATGTAAAGTAAAATAACATTTTCAGGAACTTATCTGTATGATGTGCTATTAAGACATCCATCTTAGCCAGAACTGTTTGCTTGTATCAGCTCTACCATTTAAATGCCTTCTTCAGGGTCGCTACACTGACTTTGGGAGATAAGCAGGAAGTTCAGAGGCAATGAGGGTTTCTGCACCAGGACTGAGCAAAGTGCAGAGAGCATCAGAAATGGCAAAGAGGTTTCGGCACAGGATGCACCCAGGATTCATTATGCTAGAGCCTGTAAGGTGCTTAGCACAGTGTTTCCCAAACTGGTCCTTGGGGACCCCAGCACAGTGTTTCCCAAACTGATTCTTGGGGACCCCAGCACAGTGTTTCCCAAACTGATTCTTGGGGACCCCAGCACAGTGTTTCCCAAACTGGTCCTTGGGGACCCCAGCACAGTGTTTCCCAAACTGATTCTTGGGGACCCCAGCACAGTGTTTCCCAAACAGAGCATGTGAGCGGAGTGGAGCGGTGAGAATTTCTGCTCCTCGCTCACTAGGCTGTTGGCTCCGCCCGCTCCTCCGCTCTAATTCGCACTAAGCCGCTCCGCTCAACACCGCTCCTCACGCCACTAAAATTTCCTCCCGCTCCAGTCAAATCGCTCCACGCTCGCTCCAATGTAAAAGAGGGACAAATACTCTGCATACCTAACAAATGTCACCTTAAACCAAAGTCTTATATCATAAAGAAATATGAGCAACGGCAACATTGCCACTCAGAAAATATTTATTTTTAAGCAAAATATAGGCAACAACGGACAGGTTTGGCAATGGCATTTCACACAAAATAGGCTAAAAATAAAGTAATCAGTGGACTTAATAGCCTAAAGAATATACAGGCTAAGCATCTACGTTTTAAATTCCTCAATTTTTTTTTTTGATGCTGCTGCTGTATCTCTATAAAATTAAATTTCACTGACAGCGTTACGTGAAATTTAAAAAATCCTATTAGACCTACTTTGAATGACAAAACTAATTTATTTGATTACCAATATTTACTTTATAGGCTTTTATATTTTAATTTACTTTATAGACTTGATATGCTACAACCATATAAAACTTGCTCACGTTTTGCTCTGGCATCTGCCTGTTCGCGTAGCACACTCTCATGTTTCTGAGAAAAGTGATTCCAAAGTGAATCTTTACTCACTGAAACAGTTTCACCACATTGTTGTTCTTGC